GGGGGCCGGGGGGGGGGGGGTGTGCGTGCACGCACACGCACGCATGCACACACAGATATAAAAGAATTTAGATGTTGATTTTTACCTCCCAGTTCTTACCTCTAATTTCCCCAGGACAGAATTGTTTTATCTAAGTCCTTCAGGTTCATTTTGCTGAGCTGGCCTTGCTGAGTGCCTTCCCCTGTTCTAGAAGCAATACAGTTATCTGAGAATATATTAATGGCCTCCCAAGTCGTCCATTAAAATATGTGTATAGAGAGTACTGTCATGTTTAGACTTTAGACCCAACAATTCGCTGTCTAGAGCCAGTAAACTTATGAAGACTTCTGTAGCTCCAATAAGTAGGTTTCTTAAGATCCACAGACTTAGCACAATACTAGATGTCTTTGAAAATCCAAAGCCATTCAGTTTTAGAATAATCTTTCTCTGTATTACTGAGTGTACGGACAAATTGCCATGAGGTAAAATGTGGGGTGGGGACATACCACAAGTGGGTGATACACAGCTGGTGCATGGTAACATGTGCTGCTTCTATTGTACAGTAAATGAAAGCTAAACCACATAATTAACTCCTGGGGAGGATGCACAATGAGCCCATACCCCATTTTAATTCAGTGTAATTTTTAATTTGTCCGGATTCTTAGCCTCAACTGACTCCAGTCTAGATTCTGATCCTTTGTATATACTGGGTGGCCAAATGCCAGCTCACAAACTGCATGTGGCTCCTAGAGAATGAGGCATAGTTAAATAAGCACGTTCTTTTACTCTGTTGTTTTCCACTTTTGATTTTCTTCCCTTTTGGCTCTTTACTTTTCCTAAGGAGGCATTGATCAACCAACTCTTATTTGGTCATCAGGTCACTTACTCTGGGGCCTGTATATCTTGGGAGCCTTGTGCTTGCAGCTCTCAGACATGACAAGACTTTGGTCTGTGGTTAGGATTCAGAATATATGTGTAGGCAGACTCCTGTGCCTAATGTGAAATCCCATGGACCTCAGTTTAAGTTGAAACTCAAGATACAGTGTCAGGATATAAACCTCAGTACCACATAGTACTATTCAGTCTCAAGGGAATCCACAAAAGTCTAGGAATGTCCTGGCAGTGAATTTTCAAGACTGGGATTTTATTTTGGTGATTCTAATAGTGCTGTCCCATCACAATCCACTTTTTAAAGATGTACATGAGGAACATCACGTAAAAAAAGTGTCTAGGAAAAAGCCTCTGCTAACCAAGAGTTAAGGTTTTTCATTCAAATATATTTTCTTAAAAATAATAAACTTTAAAAAACAGTAAAAAAAAAAATCACTCCAGAGCATGGAAGCATAAAAGACAAGTCAATTAAATATTAATAAGTTATAATTAAAACAACTTCAATAGTACTCCCTTAATGACCTGAAAGCCACAATATGATGCCTTGCATAAATGATTCTTTTTGTGTGTTGCATCACTGACTTTAAAAACTACCTCACTTCTGTTAAGAAGCAGAATGCTTGCAACTGCTACAGTAAGCTTCTGCTGATGTCCTGCTGTAGTGGACAGAAACGAGTGCTATTATTCTTTATCAGGATGTCTTGCCCAAGTGTAACCACATAGTATGGTTCTTCAGAATGGTGGCATGTTTCAGAAGAAAAAGTGTCTTGGTGACAGGTATAATTTTAGTATTATGTACCCCAAAGGTTTACAGCACAATTTCTACTCATCAGTCTATGCTCCAAGAAGGCAAAGGCCAGGAGTAGTACACTGGACACACATACAGAAACTTATATACACTAGATTTCCTTCCAGCTATAGGCAAAATATACAAAACCGGTTTTTTAAGACTCTTCGTCACAGGTTCTATTTAATAAAAATATCTTCGACGTGAGAAGCACTGGATACACAGTAGGTGGAATGTACATACATCACTTATTTTTCAGCAGGAAAAAGTCTCTCAAAAATGTTTTAAGAGAGCTTTGTCTACACAAAATACAAAAGAATAGCAGGAATTGAAAGAAAAGAAAAATTACTGTATTTCCATGCCCCCCCAAGTAATTCCTGTCAATTATGTGCTCATCTTCTTAGTTGCATGTTGCATTCATTGTCACTGTATTAATCTGATGGGATTCCTTGCATATGGATTTTCATTTAAAACCTGGTAAATGGTAAAAGTCTTACCATTAACCCATAACTTCCCACCACCATCCTTCTGTGGTCCAACCCATAGGTGTGAATGCCAGCTTGTCATCTTAAGCCCTCTGACAAGAATCTGTTCCTTTCAGCTAAGGAGTTTTGTAAAGTCTCTTCTGACATTATTGGGCCTGAGAGGTGCAACATTAAAGCTGCCTGATCTAATAATATCTGCTTTTGTGCTTTACACACCCCAGACTAGCACCAGCCCTAAAAGGGAATGCCCTATGTTGGCAGTGTTCAGTGAAATGGAATTGTAGCTGTACTGGGGTCTTAGCCCTGGAAGGATTCTCCTCCCAGGCTCTCCTAGTCTGCTCTTTCCTTCTCCACCACCATGCAGATAATAGCTTCAGACTCTCCTCTCAGGACAGATCACCTTACTCTAGAACTGGGGGTTGTCAGCCCCCTACCACATCTACCACCAGGGGTACACCAATCCAAAAAGGATGAAAATTGCTGCTCTAGAAGGCAGTTTGGTGCCTAGGAGAAGAACAGTAGCAGGATTACTTTGACAGTTAACATTTATTCACATAATTAGTGGTTGATAGTTTAAGCTTCAATTCTGGCTGAATAGGAATGTAGTGTGTATTTATATTTGTGTTCTGAGACCCATAAGTTCTATCAGTACAGTAGTTAGCTAAATTCAGTGTCAGAACATACAATTAGTTTCTAGTTTTCAGTTTTTCTTGAAGAAAATATAAGGGCAGAATTATTCTTATATTGCCTTACCTGAGCATCAATGTGTTTTCTATTAATTGTTAACAGTTTAATTGTAGCAGCCTCAGAAAGTTGATCTTCCTGCATTTATTGCACCATTAACAGCATAGGTGTTATTTTTGCTTCTTTAGAGTAGGAGTGTGAGTGTGTGTGTGTGTGTGTGAGACAGACAGACAGACAGACAGACAAACTTGGGGCTTCTTTCCCCAGAGTACACCAATAACTGGAAAACAGTTAGATGACACCAGTGTCAATCACAAGAATTAATAAGAACATTTATTGACTAGAATAGAAAACTTCAGGAAAACTGTTTAAAATTTGTCTTTGTAAGAGGAAGGAAGCCTTCATAAGTGATTTAACACCCACCTTTCCAAATCAAATATGATAATATACATTTTTTCCAACACCCCGTATGTTCTCTGGTAAAAAGAAAAAAAAGCATGCAGAGGTAGGGAAAACTAGACTCTGTCCTAAATCAAATATATATGTAAAATACACAAAGAAGCAAAATGCAGAATTTTCTGAAGCTGAATTTGTTTCAAGGTCCCTGTTTCTCTTCAAAGCATGATACCTACAGCTAGCTCTTCTCAATAACTATTTTCTTCTCTAGCCCCAC